TCCTCCCTCTCTCCCTCCCTCCCTCATGCCCGTCCCCACCTGAAAGCCTGTTTGTGTCTTTAAAGTCTGATTAGAACGTCAGGAACCCAAGGACACAGGCCCCCCTGGCTTTTCTATTCCCAGGGCCTGGCACATAGTAGGTGCTCAGTAAATTAATTAATTGACTCAGTATCTGAGTGTGGAGCTCCAGTGCCAAGCTGTGAGCACTGGGTGCAGGGACAGAGCCACAAACAAGACAGCCATAGTCCCTGCCCTCAGAGAACTTACAGTCCCATAGGGGAGATGGTTATAAACAACATTTGCTGGCATTGCCTGTGGAAGGAGGGTCAGGGGACAAGGCACTGGGCTGTGCTGGGAGCCGGGGGTGAGGCGGTGGCCTGGGAGGGGTGGGTGGTCAGGGGATGAAACAGAAGCTTGCAACCTGACGGATGAGTGGGAGCTGGCCAGGCAGTGAGGGAGGGGGCTGTGTTCAGGGTGGAGGAAGAGCACGTGCCAAGGCCCCGGGGCAGAGGAGAGTGGGGACTGGAAGAAGCCGGCGAGAGGGTGCTCCGCGAGGGCTGTGGCATTGGCCCAGGGAGGTGGTTGGGACAAGGGCGGTGGGGGAGGAGGTGGTGAACGTGGACCCAGCTCGGAAGTGGGCAGCAGTGGGGTTGGGGTGGAGTCCAGGCCCTGAGACTCGGGGACGGTATCTGTTTCCTCTCGGAGAAGGAGCAGGGTTGGGGGTGATGAATTCAGTGAGAGGAGCTCCTGGAACGCCCAGCGGAAGGCGGTGCAGGGCGGGGGTGCGGGTTCCGGGGCGAGGGCAGCGTTGGAAGTGGTGGGAGCCCTGAGCTGGCCTCGGAGGAGAGTGGACAGTGAGAAGAGGAGTCGCCCAGGGCAAGGCCTCAGGAACACGGTCTTTAAAGATCAGGAGGCCCCCCACCCAAGGAAACCGGAAGGGTGGTCAGAGACAAGGGCCCTCCTGGCTCCATCCCCACGCCCACGCCGCCTGACCCTCCGGGGGTGAGAGGAGGGGGCCGAGCGGGGACCTGCTGACCTCGGCAGGACCTTCACAGAACCGAGTGCCCGGCTGCTCACCGTCCTTCCTGCAAACCGCCCTCCGTTGCCTTTGCTTCTGTTCCTCGCGGACGGGTGTCTGAGTTCATGATTTGAGTCCGTGGGGTAGTGGGGTCCACCTCACAGGGCGGTGCTTTGTGGCCAGTTCTGCGTGTTTCAAAGTCTCTTCCGCATTCGTGCCCTTTCGTTCGTCTCAGAGCAGCAATCCTCTTCCACTCCCAGGAGGTTCTGGACACCGATTAGTAGTTTTATTGCTTCCCTTGTGCAGAAAACCACGGGGCGCCTGTCTGTTTCTGAGGGAGCCTGTCCAGGTGTCCATCTGGTCCACTCCATCGTGTGGACAAGTGACGTCAGCAGCACCGGCCACGCAGCCTCGTGCTGGGCGGGGTCCTCGCTCTCGCAGACAGCCCCAGGTCGACACTGTCTTTGTTCGTAATAAACCACCATGAGCCCCCTGGGGAACGCTGTTGAGAAAGAGCGTAAGAGGCAAGCTGCCTGGAGGAATGAGCAGGCGCCCCGTGTTCACAGCGTATCCACACGCCGCAGAGGGGGACCGCCCTCTGATGGCCGCTCAGCCAGACGCGTATGTTTATCCCTGGGTGCGATCCACTCACAGGAAGTACAGACCCACCTATGGCGGGATGACAGCAGCACTCAGGCCCGGCTGGCGTGGCTCAGGGGTTGAGTGTCGATCTATGAACAGGAAGGTCACCCTCGATGCTCAGTCAGGGCACAGGCCCGGGGTGTGGGTTTGATCCCCAGTGTGGGGCGTGCAGGAGGCAGCCGATCAGTGACTCTCTCTCATCATTGATGTTTCTCTCTCTCTCTCTCTCCCTCCTCTCTCTCTGAAATCAATAAAAACAACACAAAGACACAAAAAGACACATCACGCTACATGAAATAACCCAGACATAGATCATGTGTCATATGACTTCATCCAGATGAAAACGCCCAGAACAGGCGAATCTGTACACAGGAAAGATGCTTAGTGGGGGAAGAAACTGGGGGGATGGGGAATGACTATGGATAGGTACGGGGTTTCTTTTTGGGGTGACGAGGATGCCCTTCAGGTGGTCACGGGGACGGTGGCATGGCTTTGTGGGTGCACTAGCAACGCCGGCTCGCACACTGTACAAGCAGGCCTGTGTGGGGTGTGACTGTGTCCATAAAGCTGCTAGAAAGAGTAGGAGCTCAGAGCTTGTGGTCCCCTCTTCTCTGCAGCTTTGGGGTTAGGCTCCAGGTGTTTGGGACTGTTCTGGGGCGTATCTGACGGGAGGGGAGGGGACAGACATCTAGGCTCCCCTGGACTGCCTGGGCCACGCGGGCAGTGCTGCTAACAGCGACTCGCTCGACCCCCAGCTGGCGCCGTCCTTCCCTGTGGCTGAGAGTCCGCACCTCCCGAGTCTCCGCCAGGAGGAGGCCCAGTCTAGGGGGTTCTCGTGAATCCCTTCGGGAACCCTGGCAGCCCGGGTGGGTCAGCCCCTCCGGCCCCACCCCCAGGCCCCCGTGCCGAGGGCATCTTGATGTACAATGTCCGGCAGCTCATGTCTCCTGCAGCAGCTCTGACCATTGCCCTGGTCCGGGGGTGCTGCTGAGTGTGGTCCCTGGGGGCACTGTGGGCACCCCCAAGTGTGATGGGGGTCGGGGGGTGCCACCAAGTGTGATGGGGGTGGAGGAGCACCACCAAGTGTGATGGGTGGTGGGGGGGCGCCACCGAGTGTGGTCTGGGGGCGCTGCTGAGCTGGCCTCACTCCGCCCCCCCAGGTTCTCATCGACTGGATCAACGACGTGCTGGTGGAGGACAGGATCATCGTGAAGCAGCTGGAGGAGGACCTGTTCGACGGGCAGGTGCTGCAGAAGCTCTTGGGTGAGTCCCCGGAGGGCGGCTCCCCCAGCCCCTCCCCCCACTCCCCACAAAGGGCCCCAGCACAGGGCCACCCAGGCTGGGCCACTCGGTTCTCTATGTGGCAGCATTGGTCACACGTCCTGAGAGTGGACTTGGGGCCTCAGCTCCCAGGTGGCATCCCGGGGCCTGGGCTTCAGGTTACGTGTGTTCTCCCAGCCTCGGGCTGCAGCGGGGCCCCCAGAGCTTCCAGAACCGCCCGCAGCTGCCATGCTGCTGGGCGCACACAGCCAAGGGGAGCAGAGACACGTGGACCCTGGGACCTCGCCTGGCATACAGTAGGTCTGGCGCACAGTAGGTGCTCAGTCGCCGTGTGTGGGTGGGGAGTGAGTGAATGAACCGAGCCCGCCGGCATCTATGATTGCGGTACCTCAGGGACACCAGGGCTGCGTGTTCTCGTTCTAATTGGGGGAGGGAGGTCACGAGAGAGAAAGTGGGCGCCCCAGGTGCCTCCAGTGAAAAGGCCTCAAACAGAACTTTGCCGGGGACACTGCAAGATAGAAAGCCGTGGGGACAGCCTTTCTGAGGGCGTGGCTCACTTAGATAAACAGCAGGAGGGAGACCGGGCTCCTGCAGGTGTGGGTTCTCGGGCGGGAAGGGAGGGAGGCGGGAGCGGCGGGGCCGTAGTCCCGAAGCTGCCTCGAGCGGAGGTGACAGGTCTTGTTGGCTCCTCGGACTGCCCCCTGCTCCCCCGGGAGACGGGATGGTCGCAGGGTCCTGACTGTGGGGTCCAGGGGGAGGAACATGAGTGGGACCGCGGGTGCAGGAAGCAGAGGCGGCCTGTCAGGCCCCTTATCTCCGCACTGAAGTCTTCTTCCCACCGGAAGTCCTGGCCCAGCCTCTGCAGCTCCCGTCCGTCCCTGCAGGTGGCTCCTCGCCTGCCCACTGCGCCTTGAACCATTTGTCCATCTTATGTGCAGACTGTCCCCAAGGGGGACAGCCACGGCTTTCCCTTCGCACCACTCCCTCCCCCCTATCCCAGAGCAGTGATCTAGGAGCCTGACTGACTGGGGTATTGGGGTTCTGTGGCTCCCCGTTCCCCAAGCCCCCGCTGTTGCAGGTGACCGGCTCCCCCTCGGACCCGGACCCCGTGGGGAGGGGGCCTCCTCGTGAGCCACCGAGCAGGCGGACGGCCCTGCGGCTCTGCCTGACACTCTGCCCTCTGCTCTGTCCTCGCCGTAGAGACGCTGGCGGGCTGCAAGCTGAACGTGGCCGAGGTGACGCAGTCGGAGATCGGGCAGAAGCAGAAGCTGCAGACGGTGCTGGAGGCCGTGCAGGAGCTGCTGCGGCCCCACGGCTGGGCGCTGCCCTGGACAGTGGACGGTGAGTGCCACAGGGGGAGGGGTGTCCGCAGGGGGAGGGGCGTCCGCAGGGGGAGGGGCGTCCGCAGGGGGAGGCGAGGCATTGCCCTTGCTCATGGAGTCTCGCCTTGCAATGAACACACCCGTTCATACTTCTGCTCGGCCCAGGGGGCCAGGAGAGGAGGAAGCCAGCGTCCCCATGCCCAGGAGCTCAGGCACAAGGGACTCTATCGCACCCCCATTCTCTGTGCCCCTCCCCCCTAACTTCAGAATAGAGTGGGGTTTTTCTGGTGGGGACATCGGGGGACCGCAGAGGAAGGATGGTGCCAGAGCAGCAGGAGCACAGCTGTTCTCAGTCCGTATCGTCTGAATCCTGCTAACGCCGCACCAAGGGTCCGGGCAGGCTCCTTCTCGAACCCGGCCCACCGCAGACTGTCGAGGCCGAGCCCCTCTGCCCTCTGCCCAAGGCTGGACCTTCTTGGGATGCTTGGTGGCAGACAGAGAAGCCATGAGACGTGGTGGGCGTAGAAAAATGAGTCTTTATTGTAGGAGCCAGCGGCCATAAGCCATTAGACAAGACTGTTCTTTGCAGTGAAGTCCCATACGGGCAGCCGCACGCCGGCTGATAAACGAGCACATCTTTCCCATAAAGCAGCAATGGCCTCTGTCCCCACAGCCGTTATCCGAGGAGCTGCACACTGCACGCTGCCCTGGCCCCGCCCCCTCCCACAGCAGTGGCCCCTGTGCTCGCCCTTGGAGCTGCAGCCTCAGGGGCCTCTCCAGCCTCGCTCGCCTCTCCCAGCCTCCCCCCAGCACACTGGCTGGTGAGCGTGTGTGCTACTGTTTAGACCAAAGAGGCTTCTTTCCAAGCAGTGACCTTGCTATGCCCTTAATGCAGTCCCTGGACGTTCTGATTAAGATTCCCATGCTCAGAGTGGCCTGGGCCATCTGGTGTACTGTCAGCAAGGCTGCGTGCTCTCATTAGCCGTGCCTATCCGGAGACTCTGGCATGGCTCCCACAGATGGGAGTTCAGGTTATAAGACAGAAGCCGTGGAGGGGGGGCCTAGGGGGGCCTTGCAGGGGACCCAGCCCCAGATGCCCAAAGCACCCCCGCCAGGTGTGCTCACTCTGACCCACAGAGCAGGTCCCCAGGAGGGTCACGCCAGCTCAGGCTGTGTCTCAGGGCGTGCTGGCATCAGGAATAGGCGACCTCACAGTTCCTCCGGCCGAGACAGAGACGGGAAAGGTGAAGAAGCAGGCCGGGGGCCGGACGTTCTTGTCCTGGCTTCCTTCCCCACCCCCCTTAGGGCGGGGCCAGGGCAGTAGGGTGAGGCCTGGGGGCTCTCCCCGGGGCTGCGGTGAGACTTGTCCCTGGTTTCTTGGCATGGAGACCTAGGACAGAGCCCAGCTGCCCACGCAGATGGGGTGCTGAGGCCTGGTATACGGTAAGGCCCTGTGCAGAGTGGCCGCACCTGCTCCCCACGCTGGAGGGGAGCGAGTAGGGCTGACGAGGGCATGGGGACCTGATGGGCGGGAGCCTCAGCTTCCGTCCCCAAAGTGGCATTGCCCTTAATAACCTGCTCTGGCGGAGAGGCTGGCTGCAGAGATAATAGTGCTCATCGCGGTGGCAGGTAACTGCTCTCAGATCCTTTCCGTCTCCCGTGCTAATTTTCCTCTCTCGCCACTTCATCTCACCGCCGCCCAGCGCTCTCCCTTGAAGAATCCAGCTCTGCATTTAAAACATCCAGAGCTTCGGGCTTTTCAAAGCGGTTACGCAGCTCACCTTCGGCCGACAGGAGAGAAAACAGCCAGGAGCTAGGGGGCGGCTCCCACGGGAGCTGTGCGCGCCCTCCGTTCTCCCGCGGCCTGTGGGTTTCCGCGGATGTTCTCTGGTCCGAGGTCTCGGTCATGCTGACTCTCGGACACGGGCTTGGGTGCCTGTGTCACCAACTAAAGCGGCCCCTCTCCCCTCCCCCTCCCCCAAGCCATTCACGGGAAGAACCTGGTGGCCATCCTGCACCTGCTCGTGTCGCTGGCCACGCACTTCCGGGCGCCGATCCGCCTCCCCGAGCACGTCTCCGTGCAGGTGGTGGTCGTGCGGGTGAGTATCGCCGGCCGGTGGGCGCAGCGGCACTGGCTTTCTCCTCCTGCTTTTCTCCACCTTCGTGCTCCCTCTCCCCCCACAAACTCCCCTGCCGGCCACCAAGAGGCTACTGTCTGTGTCCCCCTCTTGACAACATGTCCGCCTCGCCCCGCGGCTCCGAGAGAAGCGATTGGAGCAGAGACAGTGGCGTTGATGTCAAGAGGCAGATTCAACGGCCTGGAGCTCGAGGTTCAGTTTCCCACATTTTTAAGAAGAACATTCATTGCTCTCAGAGCTGCCCGGGATTCGGCCTCTCGACGAGGCTTCCTGCTGGCTGAGAGGGATGAGGCGGTGGGTGAAGCGGGTCCCAGTTACAGCCGGGCGCCCCCTCCTGCGCTGTGGCCGCCACCCCCCTCCT